AACTCACTGAACAAATATCTCACTTGGCAACATAAATTTTGAGCTCAATTGTGAGCATAAGTCGAGGACAACATGTAGTACCTGTTGGGCACACTTTCATTCAGGGCAGAAAGGATTGTTATTAGTTATAAGTTAAATATAGAAATTAATCCTGATTGGTGGTCATGAAAGATATTTCTTGTTCTTTGGGCAATCAGAATTTTACCTTTAATTTTGGCAACAGCAGTCCTTTAGAATTATTAGGCGTTTTCCAAAAGCAAAGTCTAGTATTTAAGTATTTTGATTATTTGAATCCCATTGTTCATTGTGAAAATTATTTTTCAGTACACATATTTGTTCTGTGATTTTTGTCATAGTCACTATTGATCTTTAAGTAGACAAGAGGATTAATTAAGGAAAGGTGAAATATGAGGAATGGTTTAACTCTGCTTGATGTTAATACATGATTATATAACCTTATAAATGTCATTTTTGGAAATTGGTCTTTTTTTTTTAACCTTTTCAAATATAATGGACAAAGTCAGGCAACAAAATGTCCACACAAAACTATCTTAGCTCTGTATCATCCTTTTCAGTGGTAGGTTGCCCCCGGTTCGGACCAGTTCCGCTCACCGAACCTGACGTCATCAGAACACTTCTGCACATGCTTAGAAGAGCATGCGCGCGCCCAAGCAAAGCAAATTATTAGTAAAGGTAAGTAGAACCCACCCCTGATGCTTTTGTAATGAATAATATGTCCAATGACTTCAGGTTTTGTTTCACATACATTTCACTTCAAATCTAAACCAAGCATATAACAATAAATAATGGTTTAAATTATTGTGCACTTTAGTCTGTGGCATATTAATTAACTTTATAATTTTCTGCCTTTTTAGTGCCTTCATTTTTCCAATTATAGGAGTCTTTCCATGACTTGCATTCATACTTTCCCAACATATCTAAAGTTTAACTTTATTTTTAATGCTTCCATTTACCAGTTGGTTTTATCTCTTATTTGTTGTGCATGTAGTCCAAGATATTCTCAACAACTGTCTCTGGCAGAATTCAAAGGCTTTGCCATATAACTGCACTATATTATATGGCCTTGGTGGCGCAATGGTTAGAATGCAGTACTGCAGGTTACTTCTGCTGACTGCCGGCAGTTCAAATCTCACCAGGCTGAAGTTGACTCAGTCTTCCATACTTCTGAGTTCGGTAAAATGAGGATCCAGACTGTTAGGGGCAATATGCTGACTCTGTAAACCACTTAGAAAGAGCTGTAAAGCACTGTTAAGTGGTATATAAGTGCTATTACTATTGCTATCTTATCTGAACCTATATGTTATATGCTAAAGAATGAACGCGGAAAGGGATAGGATTCTGATTAGTTGTCACTTTTAGCAGACTCCTGTTGGTCATAATTAATAGTCTAGACGGATTTTAAAAAATGAGGATGCTCAGGGAGTGCTGTGCAGTAATACCAACCTACCTTAAACCCAATTTGAGCAAGGCAAAGCTGCTCCTCAAAAGCAACTATACCTTTTCTTTTTGTGTACTCAAGTATCCAATGGAAGAAATTTCACACCTTTTTAGTTTTCAGAAATATTAAAGGCTAATTTATCTGCTATGCTGTCTAATTTGTTTTATATACAACCCCGGGCAAGGTGATCTGGATTTGTAAAGAGACAATTTTCTTCAATAGTACCTTTTCTGTTGCCTCAAAACTCTTCTATACCTGTTACTTGTCATTTGCTAAAGGCCAGGAGAGCCTTCTATCCAGGAGTGGGCTTCAAATATTTTAGCAAGGGGTTTTCTGCCTGGTTTCTGGGTGGGCGTGGTCATGATGGGCGTGGCCTAGTTGGCGTCCTGCACCATGGCAGGGGGGGGCGTTTTGCCCTCCCCTAGTTCCAGAAGCTTTCTTTGAGCCTCCGGGAGGGCGAAAACAGCCTCCCCAGGCTCCAGAGGCCCTCCCCTGGCTCGGGAGGCATTCTTCGACCCTCCAGGAGGGTGAAAACAGCCTTCCTAGGCTCCAAAGGCCCTTCCCAAACTTCCAGTAGGCCTGTATTTTGCCCTCCCTGAGCCTTCGCGCATGCCCTGCACTTACTGCATCTAAAATGGGGCACGTGGGGACTTCTGGGAGGGAAGGGGCAGGGTGAGTGGGGCCAGCCAGGAGTGGGATTTGGGGGTTGTCCAAACTGCACAGAATCTTAGTTAGAGGTTCTCTAGCTAAGGTAGTTGCTGAAGTTTAGCAAGTACAGTCAGAAAAACTACAAAGAATTGTGAAGCAGAACACAGCCAAGACAGCTACTTGACTTCACTTTAAAATGAAAAGTGGCTATGATGATTTGCAAAGCTTCCCTTGAACTTTCACTGAAGGGGGAAAAAATACTTGAAGACTGACAAATCCTTTTTATAGACATCATAAGAAGGGACTGTGATTAGGTCATGATAACAATAAATCAGTTCTTCTTCTTCTATGACTGAGAAGCAGTATGCACATTTTAATTTCATACCTGTGAAGCATAGGCTAAAAGTAAAAGGGTTTGTTTTCAAAACCATTTGCGGTTTAGTTTGCTTTTAGATTTATATTGCTGTCAAAGTTTGCAAATATATCTTTTTCAAACTGATTCACATTTTGTGTTGTGTTGTTTTGCTTATTTTTAATTCAGGATAATCCCCAGAAGAGCTGTCAAGTAGCTATTATAACACTCTTATGCTTCATAATAAGATGCATTAAGCCTGTGTCTATTCTAATAATTTATAAAAATTGGGATATTCTACCAATAATAAGCATATACTTAGGCACTCCTGGGATAACTCAGATAAATTGCATAAAAGAAATATTGATGAAAACCTGTCATTACATTTTGTGAAATGTTTCCACAAGGAACATTTTGAAGGTCACCTTTAGAGCAAAAATGAGTAAAAACTACCCTTCTGAATGCACTCCTTCCTAGTCCCTTTCTCCTGCTGGACCTAACCATATCTTCCTTGTTCTCGTGTTTGCCTCTTTATAACATTTCCTTTTTCCTGTTGTCTCTGCTTGGAAACACCCACATAAATTATTTACTTGAATAATATTTTTCCCTTAAGTCTTCTCTTCTGAACAATAACTCCCTTAGCAGGAAATCTTTCAAAAAGTTCCAAGTTCCTAGGACTTGGAAACTAAATGAGAAATTGAAGCCAATATATCATCTCATCTGCAGAGTTTTGAGGAACAGTAAATTTTCAACACTTTTCACTATTGTTAGCTATCATAACAAGGTTATTCAAATAAATCTAGTCTTCTATTTCAAATTACTAACTACCCATTTTGAAGATTTTCACCAACACAGTGAGAACAATGAAGAATGGAATGGAAACTGAGATCATCTTCCTAAAGTTGCAATCTGCATAGAAAATGAACTTTCCTAAACATCTTGAGAACAACTTCAAGCCTCAAGGAATAAGAAACCATAATATAGAATACTTAAAAGCAGCTGAAAGTCATGTTTGTCTGTTAAGGTTCTAATGGGTTTCCCCCCCCCCACAAGATAGGTTCTGCTCCTAGATAGGCATGATCAATGCTGAGACTGAAAACAGACCAGGGGTGAAATGCTCCCGATTTGGACCGGATCGCCCGATCTGGTAGCGATGGTGATGGAGAACTGGTAGCAAAGATCCCTGCCCCCCTCCCATGCCCAGCTGAGCCGTGCGATCATCAGAGGCTTTTTTTATTATTATTTTTAAAGCATTTTTTCTACAACCTCTTTGGCCGAAAAAATGCTTTTAAAAGTAAAAAAAAAAAAGCCTCTGATGATCACGCGGCTCAGCTGGGATCATCAGAGGCTTTTAAAAGCATTTTTTCTACAACCTCTTCGGCTGAAGAGGTTCTAGAAAAAATGCTTTTAAAAGTAAAAAAAAAAAAAAAAAGTTGGCCATACCCACTCAGTTACATTACCCTCCCCCCCACCAAGCCACGCCCACAGAACCAGTAGTAACAAATTTTACATTTCACCACTGAAGCAGACACACTCATTGTTTTCAGATTTCTTAATCCAAATATTTCTAATAGCTGAAAAGTAGTTAACAAGCAATTTCTGAATGTGACTAGAAAAGGAAACCAACCACGGTTTGAATAAGATGATTATTCTCTCATCTTCCAGTGCTCAAAAACTGGGTTGAAACTGTGGTCATGTTATTTCCTTGTAAGGCACAACTGTCTGGAACATTTATGGGTGAAGTCTTGTCCTCTCCTTTATTCACAAAGATTTGAAAAGCTGATCTACTGGCTAGTGCTGCATTCTTCACCATAGTCATCAGTCTTCAATCTGCCATGTCTAATTCCAGTCACTCTGCTGGAATCCCATAGTATAGCCCTTCTCAACCCATTTCCAAAACAATTCTAAAAAGTGAACAGTTTCTTGCCATGTTTCACTGTGTCCTAGATGTATATTTATTTCTCTGTATACAATTTATGTCTTTTGGTTTCATATTTATCAATCATTCTCTTCCCTCCATTTTTGTTCATCTAGAGCATGGGTGTCAAACTCGATCGCATCACGTGATGTATATTGTGATGTATCACGATGCTTTTTGCCTTTGCGGATCCAGGGTGGGCATGGCCTGTGCGTAACACATCTGGCCAGCGGGCCGCCATTTTGATAATTCTAGAGCCTCTTTCACTTCCTGAGTCCATCAAACATTCTCTTTCATACTTCCCATTTGTTTAATTTCACACATTTCTCTGGCACGTTGTAACATAATTCTGTTTTACTCTATTCCAATCAACTTTCACATTTTTTTTCTTGTGGGAGATTAATCTAAATTTAATCTATTTTCATATAGGACTTTGTGCTTTATTCATAGAGTCATTCTACTTCATTCTAGTTTCTTTCACCTCTTTTCTTTTCTTCCATGATTATCTCTCCCTAAAATCTATTCTTAACAAAGAAGAATCTGTCCCACATTCAAAATCTTTCATCACCCTTCAGCAATATGTGTTGCATAATAAATAAAACAACATACATCATTTAAGTTACCTGTGCTTGGTCAATGTAAAGTTCTTCATCATGGCCCTGTAAATTATCCAGATCTTCAAAAGCTACTTCATGTGTTTCGGAAACATAAGTTACAGAACTCATTGTAGGAGCAGCCATAATAGCATCAAAGATAAAATATCCTATGAGAATTCCTGCAAAAGCTTTTATTCTTCAATCTTTTTAAGGGAAAAAAAGTATATATATAAATGTTGATTACCAATCTGATTGAAAACAATCTATTAAATATTACCCTGTTTCCCCAAAAATAAGACATCCCCCTGATAATAAGCCCAATCGGGCTTTTAAGTGCATGTGCTAAAATAAGCCTCCCCCCAAAAATAAGCCCTCCCCGAAAATATTTAAATCAGAGCTGGAAATCAGGTAAGACGGCAAGAGGAACCCAGCTTGCTCCATGTGCCCCAAAATAATAAGACCTCCCCGAAAATAAGGCCAAGCACTTATTTCAGGGTTGAAAAAATATAAGACATGTTTCAGAAGAATGGTTTCTTTATTTTTGCTACATAAAACAAACTATCAAATATATTTATATATTTATTATAATCTGAATTTAACAGAACTCCTGGTGTCTTCACAGAGACACCATTTCCCTGCCCAGGGAAAGTGGGCAGATAATTGTGCTCTGGGTTCGTAACATCCTTCAAGGGGCATCCCCTGCTGGAAAAGGGAGTTATGTATGTTACTGGAATGGTACTTTCATAATAACAAAACCCTTTTTTGATTTCTGTTTAGAGGCAAGTTAGAGCAGTGACCATATAATAATCTAACAACGACTACATACTCATATGTAGAATCTCCCCAGCACAAATTTCTAGATATAGTTTATCTTAAGACTACTGTGGCTTAGGGCTAGTCTGGTAGGTAACTAATGATCAGGGAACTATTTCTGAAGAACATAAATAGATAATGTCATCCTTTATTAATCTACCACTCAAAGTGACTTCAGAGTACATTTTTCTGCGCTACTTTCAAAGTGTGTCTCAAAAGTGCTTTTTCAAAAGGCAACTGGCCTTTTTTGTTTTTCCTTGAGGACATTTTGCTTCTGGATAGCAGAAGTAATGAAGCTTTTTGGATGGGAAGCAAAAGGTCTTCAAGGAAAAACAAAGGAAGTCCAGTTGCCTTTTGAAAAAACACCTTTGAGACAACCATGATCTGGATGTCCAAGAATCTCCATAGATTTTCAAAGTATGCTTTCCTATGTTATATCGTCTCTAATGCTCCTATCCATTTTGGACAGCATACAGGTAGTCCTCAACTTATGACCATAATTGAGCCCAAAATTTCTCTTGGTATGTGAAACATTTGTTCAGTGAACTTTGCCCCATTTTATGACCTTTCTTGCCACAGTTGTTAAGTGAATCACTTCAATTGTTAAGTTAGTAACATGGTTGTTGCGTGAATCTGTCTTTGCCATTGATTTTGCTTATCAGAAAGTTGCAAAAAGGTGATCATGTGATCCTGGGACACTGCAACTGTCATCAATATGAGTCAGTTGCCAAGCATCTGAATTTTAATCACATGACCATGGGGATGCTGCAATGGTCATAAGTGTGAAAAACGGTCATAAGTCACTTTTTCAGTGCCGTTGTAATATTGAATGATCATTAAATGAACTGTTGTAAGTTGAGGACTACCTGTATTTTAGTTTGCTGTGTACTAACCCCAGCAATTTATTGGATACTTTGCAAAAAAAAAAAAAAAACACTGTTCAAACAAGTCAATACTGTGTGTGTGTGTGTGTGTGTGTGTTCAATTTCACTTTTTATATATAGTATGCAAGAGAATAACATATATCCAGATAGAGCCAAGACAAGTAATTAGCAAACTTGGAGAGCACGTCTAGTAGGAAGACTAGACAGGTGTGAGATTGAATATCTTTGGAAGTGGATTTGGATTGAGGCAATTAAATTCCATGAATAATCCCCAAACATTATACTGCAGAAGAACTCAGAAAGATTATATTTCAGCAGAATTACCCAGGCATAATCATAGGAACCATGATTAAATGGGCAGGCTACTACAGTGGAGTGGATGAAAATATTTGGTAATAATGGATATTCAGTCAATAAAGGTAGGTTCTTTTGAATGATTTATATCAATAACTTTTCTTTTTCTTTCCTTGACACTTAGTTTGTCATGAAATCTCATGACGGTGTGAGATTTAGTTGACTAACTTTATTTTTTTTAATGTAACAACTGGTTTTACAGTGCAGTTTTTGTTAACTCTATTTGTAATTTGCACTTCATATATCACTGATCGTAATGGATCTTAAGAAAATATAAACATTCCCAAACAAAATTTCATTTTCATTCTTCACGTATACTGAACAAAAGAAGTACTGATATGGGAGGAAAAGTATGCATAAATCTGATGTCCGAAAACAGACTACTTCACTCATGCCTTTTATTTACTTTTTTTAAAAAAGAAATCATTTATAAACTGTGTTTATAATATTAGAAATTCAAGAAACACTTTGCCTTGACTCAAACATTCTGATATTAAATGCTTGAAAGAAGGCCTTTGTGAAGTAGATTTCCTCATGAAGGTATGAGATTCTAATGGGAATAGTAAACAGCAGAAGGCCTTCATTTTCCTCTTGTATATTTCAGGGTTTGTTTTTTTTAAATAGCTAATAGGCAGAACCTACAGGCAGCTAAATCTCTGTACTTTCATTTTTTATTCAAAGGTTAACTGTACTGAACTTTTCAACAATGCTTTATTTAGAATATTCTTTTGATGTATCATGCTACTAAAAGAAGTATTACTTTTCAGTGACTGGACAAAGATAACAAATACCTTGGTACAAATATTAAATGAGATGCTGAGGTCGCTTTTTCTCTCTCTATCTACATGTTATTCCAAAACGTGAACTGAGTTTTACAGTTAGAAGTCTAGGGCTACTTTGCCATAATAAATGTTATCTAGAACTTTTAATATAGAAGGACAATACATATTTATTTATTTGACATTCTGAATCTGAGATAAAGATATACTTGAAAAACTGAGTCTATGGTCTATTGAGCCATATAAACTCACATCTCTTCTAGCTCCAGATTGATCACTGATCTGGATTTTTTAAAAAAATAGTAGGATGGACCCAAGTTCTAAATCATATTAGGCTTTGATTTTCAGGTTATTAATATACAAAAATATTGCAAAATTAAAACTGTTTATAAAATAATATTTTTGGTATTGTATGTAGGTGATGATTTAGATAGATGATAGATAGATGATAGATAGATAGATAGATAGATAGATAGATAGATAGATAGATGATAGATGATAGATAGAATTAACCTAGAAACCTGGAAAGTACAGTTTTAATAAGTAAAATCCTAGAACATAGTATAATTCTATTGACTTGCAGAAGATATGTCTATTTTGATATAAATTATATCAAGCTTTGGAAACCACTAACTCAAATTAAAAAGCAAACAGTTAAAATATATGCTTATAATTATTATTCTTTTCAAAATATTAAAATTTCAATTCTTTTCAAAGAATTAAAATTGTTTGAAAAATAAGCATATAATTTGATGTGTGTGTGCGCATCCGTGCCTATGTGTTCCCAGGTGTAACTATTTGCTTATAAATGACAAAAGAAAGAGAACGGTTACCTTTTACTTTTGTCTCCTTAAATGACATAGAGTCACGAGCGTTGAATGAAGAGTTGATAGTATTAGACTCTAGCCAGTCATGGTCTTGTCTGAGACTGAGGGAAGATGATGTGGTAAAGATCAAATCCTGAGAAATTTCTTGGTGTTTTAGCAAATCAGATAACATCTTCTGAATGCCTAACCTTGTACAGTAGTTAGGTGTAATTTATTTCTGAGGAAAGAGATTATGTTTCAAAGTCTGTACTGAAATAACTAATTCATCATTCATGCCATTTTCAAGAACAAACAGAAAGCTGGAATGCTTAATGCCATTTCTTTTCTATATAAGCAATAAAAAAGGTGAAGTTTAAAAACATTATCTACAGACAAAATCACTTTTTTATTATTTATAGTAAAACATACAAATTTTTTTTATAATCAGGTTTTTATATGTAAATTCTTTACTGTAATTGTTTTGTCTGTCCTCAAAAGAAAAAATAAAGAACTGAGGCTAATTTTTTTAAAAAATTGACAGGTCAATCATTTGACTCATTTGTCCTCAACTGAAAACAAAGCAATAAGTCTTGCCTAATGACTAGAAAAAAATTCTTCTTTATTAATTATTATTTATATATTAATCACATTTATATGTCCAACCATTTTACTGAGGATAACTCTTGGAGGTATACAATAATCCAATAGAATAAAGATATATAAAAACAATCATATAAATATTAAATATTATTAAAAATTAAATGAAATATAAACAAATTCCAGGTGTGTAGAGTTTTAGTATTATGTTAAATTAACTACAAAGTAGTGCATTCCACATGCAGTAATACATTTACTTTAATTCTACTATGGGCTGTTATTTAATAGAGTAAATTATTGATGGGCATTTTGTGTAGATTATCATACATTATTTTATCACAGTTTAATAGCCCTTTTTTTCTTTATTCAAAAGTATTTCAAGGCCATCCCTGGTTCAGGAGGCTGGTGCTTTGCTTTGCCGGCCCATTTCCTTTTTAATTTTAAAGTATTTTTTTTTAAAAAAATCTAAGAACTACCTTGTATGTTGGTCTATGGGCATTTCAATATCCCCAGGCCTTGTGGGAGATATCAAAACAAATCACAATGTAGTTTTATAGAAATTTTAACACGCTCTAGTTTTTCTCATGTTTTGTGCTCTGCTTTAATTTCAGAAAATGTTGATGATGGAAAAGAGTATCTAAAACTACTTGAAAACAATGTGAGAAATGTCCTGAATAATGGATTACAGTTGCAGAAAATCATATTCCAGTTTCATATAAGATAAAAGTGTCTTAAGAATAAGTGGAGTATGATAGTCGGTTGATCACAGAAATGGTGAGCATCCTGTTACTTCTTCCACAAGTGCAATTTCATCTATTTGATGTCTGAAAAGGGTTAAGACTTAAACTTTCTTTTCAACTATTTAATAAACTCTGGTCTTGAGGTACCCACTCTAGCTTGTAGTGTTATTGTAATTATATAAAAGCAATGTCCTTATTCAAGTAAACAATAGATACATGTTCTCATATGTATATGTACATATATACATACATTTTACATTTTGATAGTCTGGAATGGAAAAACTTTTGAGTGATGCAATATAAATAATGAAATATTTTCTGTGTTAGTTTATAATCAGTGAGTCATAGGTTGACTGTGCCCAATTGCTAGAATGGATAGAAACTGCAAAAGACAGGTAACCAGGTCATATGCCATGAGGGTTTTATAGATGATAACCAGCACCTTGAGTTGTATCCAGAAAACTACTGATAAGAATTGCAGTTCATGAAGCAGATATACTATAGTATAATTGCCTATGTTCCAGAATGTTCTGGAACAGCTGTAGCTTCTAAGTAGTTTTCAAGGGTAGTCCCATGAGTATGTTGCAACGGTCAAAACATGAAATAACTAAACCGTGACTGAATGCTGATACGCTGGTCCAGATATGAATATGGCTAGATTAAATAAAGACATTTCTGTTTGCAGATGCCACCTGCTCCTTGAACAGAATCTCATATTGCTCACCAATCCTAATCTCAGTCTAGAAAACCCCCATTGAGATCTGCATAGCTTCAAGGTAGGTTAGTTATTGAATTACATGTCATTCATATGATTTTATTTGTAGTGACAGTGCAAGGTTCATTTTGAGATTTGAATCTAGCAACAATATTAATAAACATATGATATTCTGTATTCAGTAGAGAGTATGACTGTTTGTATTCATTGAGAAGAACTGGGATTCAGAATTTAAACTAAACATAAATTATTACTGCTGGAAATGCTTGTCTTAAAATGTTAAAATCTCTTCTGGTTAAAAATGACTTATGTGGCTTTTTTTTAGATATATGAACATAAATTCTTGACCATAATATAGATTTATTGTTTCTTTCTTCATATACTGTATGTATGTATGTATGTATGTATGTATGTATGTATGTGTCTGTGCATATGCACATATACTTTGTAGTACAACCTGTGACTGTGGGGTTTCCTTCAGTCAAGTATTAATAGGCCAATCCTATTTAATTATTTTTTTTTAATTAGCCAAATATGGCTAAGTGTTGCTATTTAACTGGGTATCATTATCTTGATGTCACCAATTTGTCATTGTTCAGTTAGTAAAGAATGAGCTTCTTCAAGACTGCAGCTTATTCATAAAAAGATATTACAAGACCACACTTTTATGGAACGTTCTCAGTAATTTCTTCTTTCTGATTTAAATTTAAATAGTATGGAGGAAGAACTATATAATAGGATGCCCTGAGTATTTATGTTTTGTTTCCTTGACAACTAGGAATGCTGCTTCTGCTATCCAGAAGACAAAGAGTACGAAGCTTGTCACATTATTTTGTCTGACCAAGTCTCTGATGTATCTGGCAGGTTGCTTGATTTTGTGTTTCTATTTTGTCTATTCCTCTTCTTTATGACTAGCATTAATCTTGATGATTTTCCATTCCATATTATTATTATTGTATTTTATGCTTACTTTTTATTTATTTTTAGAGATTTAATGTGTATGTGTTTCTGTATCTATCTGATATGCATACAATATTTTATATAGATTAAGATATCCACATCTAAAATGGAGAAAATAAGTTTCAACAAGACAGGGTTTACAAACACATGAATTTCTTAACAGAACTTATCATCACTCTTCAAGTAAATCTTCAAACACATTTTGCTGTTATATAGAAATGAAGACCATTTTATTAAAAAAAAGATAGAATAACATTGTCTAGGTATGTGTAGTTCAAACACATATTTATCTTCATTTTCTATTCAATAGATTAAGGTATGTTCTTACTTTTTAATTGTAAAATAATGGAGCAGCTTAAATGGTGAGTAAAGGGGGAAGATTGCTGAGGTTAATCCCATAATTAAACACAGCAATCTGACATTTACAGTACTGTAATACTATACTTATAAAGATTATACTATTATTGCTTAACATAGGTGAAAACACAATTCCTGAATATCCAGGCCAAGATGCATATGATATACCACAACAAAAGCTGTTTTAAACTAATTTTTCTGGTTTTTAGAATCCATCTCTAAAATTTAAAGTAAAGGAGTTACTAGGAAAAAAATAGAAAATACTTCAATATTGCAGGAAATTTTTTTTTAAATGTTACAAAATATATGGAAAGCGTAACAAGTCAAATGCCAGCAAAGATGTTCATTAAATCATTGTATCACAAAGTAGTCTTTAAATAACAAGAGCCCGAAGGAGTCGGAAGCACAGCATGAGGTCCAATGGAATTGGGGGTTTGATTCCATTGCCATCCAAGCGGAGATAACGGAGCTGTGGTAAATTGCTCTCATAAACATAATCTCCCGGGATAGGAATTGGACATACTTGAGTTCCATTAAGACCTAAAAAAAAAAAAAAAACAAACACCAAATAAATATGAGAAAAATTACTAGTAATAAATGTATTAGATTACTAGGTAAAAGCTACTGATACTTTTGAATATTATTATTATTATTATAAATTGCATTGTTCAGGAGATCACCAGTCAACATCGTGTTCTTCTTTCTTTTATGGAACGTGAGAAAGATAACAAAATAGAGATGTTTTGCTGGCCAATTATCAATTAAGTCGCAAGGGTACCTTCAATGTCATTTCTAAAATTATAAAGATGTTTGAGGGGTTTGTTTGTTTGTTTTTTGCCTCAGGAGACAACAGCATCTGGTTGGCCTTGTCTAGGCATAAAAGCTAAACAGAATACCTTCTTATAGAAAATACCTTCTAATCTTTAGATGAAGACTACAGGTGGAAGTTGAAATATGAAGAAAGTTTTAAAATCACTTCTGAATGATTGCCAAGGAGTCAAGTTCAACCAGGTGACTTAATTTTTTTAATTGCACTTGCAATAAATTGCAGGAGTTTCTCAACCCCCCTAAATAGCTCCGTCCATCTATACGTCCGTCCATCCATCCATCCATCCATCCATCCATCTATCTATCTATCTACAGTATCTATCTATCTGAGTTCTTGGGAATCAGGATGGCATGTAAAAATAAATCTAAGAATTGCAATCAAAGTGAAGTCACTGATAATTTAAAGGGGAGTTTAATGCAGAAGCACATTTAATTTAATATGCAATTTCTTCCTTTCTTTACATCTTTTAAAGAGAGCTACAAAGGGCAAATATCTGACAAAGAATTATACAATTTGAGGTGCCCTTATTTGAATTCTCTGTCTTTTTTAAAGATAAAGGACCCTTGATGGAAAGGAAAAACATTCACCTTTATTTTTGCCAGGTTGGTTTTTATTTGTTTGTTTGTTTGTTTGCCTTAAAAGGTCAGAAACTCACTGAAATGTCTTCAGAACTTTATGAATGGGAAATTTTCTTGAAATAAGAGAGTTCTAAAAATCAAAAAACATTGTGTTGAATAACAATGCATTTTCATAAAAAATAGAACCCAAAATGTTAAGAACAAGGCCATCAAAAATGCACATATGATACTGTGAATTTCACAGAGCATTTCATTATGTTTCTAAACAGGAAGCAGGTGCAGATGGTTCACTTTTCCATGGATTTATTCATGTGATTCATTTGTCTGTTATGGAGGTGTTTGGCCTTTTTGTAATTTGAGGCTTAGAATAAATTTCTGGGTATTCTGATTAATTAGAGATTTCTGTTTTCTGCTGTGATTGGTTTTTTTTTTTTTTTTTTTGCAATAAACTCTCAGCATTTCCAACTGTACAATAGTGAACATTTTTCATTAATGAATATACATGTATACATTATAAGAAGACATAGGATAAAATGTGTGGCTGGGTTCACTAATTTAAGATATTATCTCCATCTTGTTTCCAACCCCCATCCCATCTATTTATCTACTGCTAAACTGTAGAGTTCATATCTCTGCTTGACATACTATTCAACCATTTGATGCTCATCCTACTACTTTATATTCATATTAAAAAGGATAGAATATTTTCAGAGTTACTGGGAGTCAGATGGCATATCAATTTAATATATTATTATGGTTGGCTGCACAAGCAGCCAGATGCTTAGATTGCATTTAGTGTGTTTACTCTCCTATCAAGTCCTTCCCAGGAACCTGGGATAACCAGATGTTGTTTGATGATATTATTATTTTGTTGCATAGTCAGATGTTTAGGTTGGATTTAGCATTTTTATCCACCTATCAAATTCTCACATTATTACTGTTATTCTGATGTCTCTTCCTAGTTTGGGTGAATGCTGAACAGCATTCATCATGATTATCTTAATTAGTTCTTGTATTGTTGTAGTGATAGACATTTCAATAGATAAAATACATTAAATAATCCTACATAATTTGTATGTCTGATTTCTGGCTAGTTCTGATTAAATGAGCACTTTTTTTGAGTTATCCATTCTAATTATTTCATGTGAAATTGGATTCTGACTGGGCAGATCCAAGTGAGCTGCTGGGGCATCTTATAATGTTAATTGGACTGAATTTGATTTTGATTACAATTGACCAATTGCAATTACAATTGATTACAATGAGGTGAATATGATCTTCTGAACTGTGACTTCATCTACCTGTTTATTACATCAGACCTCTTTTGGGTTGAGAAGATGACCGGAGGAGACCATTCAATGGTTGGATCTATGCAATAGTGTCAGCCTCTTTGAGGGCAGAAACAATCCCTCTGACCTTGAAGGAGGTGAGGGGCCCTCATGGACTTTGCCACTGGGGACAATTGCTATTCAGTTTCCAATCTTCCCTTTATGGCTATTATTATATGATGTTCAATTACCTTTTGCAGTGCTGAGATAGAAGCAGTGTATTCATTTTCATATTATTATTGTTCTCTCAGTGTGTGTTTTTTAAAAATATATATTTTTATTGTTTATTGTGTGTTTTGATATCATTGGCTATGGTATCCTTCTGACTAGCTTGAGAGTTGGAATTGAGAAATTTGTGCTGCAGTGATTTGCTTCCTTCCTCAGTAGTCAGGTTTAATTGGCATTGAATAGGGAAGAGATTGTGCCCATAATCCCCCACAAACGGGTTCAATGTTCTTACCCCTCTTCCCATTTAACATTTGCATAAACTCCTTGGTAAAGTTATCCATAAATTCAGGATCTAGTATCATCATATTGTATTAATTATATATACCAGGGGTGTCAAACTGGTGGCCCTCAGGCTGGATTCATCACACGCAGGCCACACCCATCCCAGCTCTGCAAAGGGGAAAACATCACAAAAGTCACATGACTGCAATGTGACGCGGCAAGTTTGACACCAGTGGTATATACCAATTAATACAGACTACATGGCTGCACAGGGGAAGCTATCATTGTATTTATCCAGTGTCTGGAAACTGTTCAGGAGGAAGCTAAGAAGAACAGACTCATGCTCAATCCTGTCAAGACTGAGTGGCTGTGGCTGTTTGGGGCTCCCTAGATTGGTACTTCATGGCTATCACTATAGCGGTACAAGAAATACTGTTCTTGGATAAGTTGCACTTAGGCATTCATGACATAGTACACAATTTGGGAGTTCTTCTGCTTTGAGCTCTTGCTCAAAGAAGCCCAGAATGGCCTTGTATAGGTCTGCTATATGCAGCAATTGTGCAACCTTTTTTCAATTTGGAGGCCCTTCAGACAGTCAGTTATGCCCTATTCAATTCCTGATGTGACTATTGCAATGTATATGGGATTGCCTTTGAAAACCATGGAAAGTTACAGCTGATTCAATAGGCAGTGGCATAGGCAATAGCAGAAATTTCTTCTTATACCCATTCTCATCACTGCTTAAAGAGCTGTGTTGGTTATGATTTGGCTTTCCAGTGCAATTCAAGATACTGGTTGCCATTTATAAAGCACTTCATTGCATAGGGTTTAGTTCTTTGAGGAGATGTATGTCTCTAATAGTTTCTATTTATTTAGTATAATTGCATAAAGTGGGTATGTTTGGGCCCCTCCAGTTAAACATTGTTATTTTGCATAACTAAGGATGCATGCCTTCTCTAACATGACCCTAATGCCGACAACAGCATCCCATCCGAGATATGTACATGTCTCACCTTCAAATAATCTGAATGTCTTAGAAGACTTGCTTTTCCTGATGCCTGGGATTAGGGTATTCACGGAGCTTTTGACAATTATTTGTTTGTTATTTGTATGGCTGTGTATGAGCATTGATATTTTTATTTTATATATTCTTTAGAAAGAATACGAGCTACACGGAATGTTTTTGGATTTGGGCTATCTTGAAAACTAATGAATAAATATATAAATAATAATAAGGTATCATTATACATGTGAACAATTTCAAAATGCTGCCTTTTTATTCTGCTGTATGAAACATAATCCAGTGCATATTATTCAGAAGGGAGACTTCTAAGTACAAATGTACTTACATCTAAGTACAGATGGCAAATTTCTGTAAGTAATAGGAAAACAGAGTTACTGCAAAAGTGTGGGCCATATACACTTACTATTGATTCTGTTGTTATCAAGATAAAGATGCTCAAGATGGATACCAATAGCTGGGATTATGGTGAGTTCATTGTACGATAGCTGAAGATCAAGAAGGGATGAAATATTAAAGACTTTGCTTGGTACGCCTCCATCAGTTAATTTATTGTGGTTCAGCCGTAGGGAAACTAATCTGAGCGTTGCATCAAAATAATTTTCTGGTATTGCTTCAATAGAATTACTGTCCAAAAATAGCTGGTTCACATTAGCAGGAAGGATTGGTGGCATTTTTGTAAGGGAATTTTGAGCAACGTTGAGTTGCATGAGACTGCTCAGTCCTTGGAAAGTGTTGCTTGACAGAGCGTTGTCCAACAGTTTGTTTTGATGTAAGTCTAACATAGTTAGGTTTTCCAAATTGTTGAAGACACCTTGAGGGATTGTCCTGATTTTGTTTCTTGCTAAACGCAATTGTTCAAGGCTTCTTGGCAGGGGATCTGGCACTTCTTCTAAATAGTTGTCTTCCAGGTACAAGTAAAGTAAACTTTTTAAATTGTTAAACGCACCTTTTTCAATTCCATTGGTAGTGATTTTGTTATTGTTCAGATTTATCCATTTTAGTTGGGTGGCGTTCACAAAAGACTTCTCTGTAATTATTTCAATAAGATTGTTTTGGAGATAGAGGTACCAGATTCCCGGTGGGATGGCAGGTATTTCTTTCATTGCTTTGCTATCACAGTATAAAGCATTTGGGAAGTTTGGAGGACAGAAACAGTCCTGTGGACATTCAAAGGTATAAAACAACCAGTTGTATGGATCAGATTCATCCTCCATCGTTCTGATAGTGCGAGTCCACACAATAGTGGCTAAGAAGGATACCAAAAGGCTGGAACAAAATATTATATTCATAGTTTACCTTAAAAAGAGGGCAAAATGAAGTTACAGACTACACGTGAATCTTTTGTTTCCAACAACAAATAACATTAATTTTATAATAAAATGTGAAGGTTTATATTCTCATAAGAGTCAAAAATTTTATATCATTTCTGTCTGTTCCCCTACCCCAACATTTATTTTAAAAAATATTGCTTAGTAGAGCACTCTGCAGCTAATTTGTGCATCAGTCTAGAATCCTTATAAATTGCTACTTAACTAAGCTGCATCCACATTCAATATTCGTTTAAAAGAAACTTTAAAAGAAGTTTGATTTGGTAACTGGTACCAGATAAGTTTATTCTACTTTACCCTTAACCTGGCAACATATTTTTCTACAAAAAACCAAAAAACAAAAAACCCCTCAATCAAATAACAGTCCGCTATACATCAGATGATTGACACCACTGCTTTTATTGACAGCTTTCCAGCCTTAGTCCAGTGATTCTTTAAATAATTTTTGTATTATGTGATGATAAAGTATTTGGA